AACAGGTTGGCTGGGTCTCTTAGCTCTTGGACAACTATTCTTCATGAATTAACTTCCTAGAGACAAAATACCTAAATTACTAAGTATCTCAGAGGAGATACATTATGTCATTCAGGAGAAGGAAGTATACATTCTTGCCAGGAAACAGAGTTTTAGGGAGAAAAACATTGTGCTGGAAATAGTTGCATACACTTTTATTGAAAACTTAAGAATATAGAATATAATAGCAATCTAGCAAGTCAGATTGGATATAAAAGGAAACACTGGTAATCAGGGATAAAAATAAAGCCCTGAAAGTCCATTCTCCCTGAGCTTCTCTCATAAGCTAAGTGGTATAATTTGAAGATGAAGCATAACCTTTTAATACCCCCCATGTTGTCACGAAGCGTTAGTTACCATTCTTCTAAGAAACCAAAGAATTTGGCTTCACTTGGTCAACTGTGTTCTTAAAATGTCCTGAATAGAAACCTCCACTGTGAGGACAGGTACCAAGAGACAATAAAAGCAGAACGTTTCAGCAATGTGCAGAAAACCCCTGGGCTGTAAGAGAACAGGAAAGAGAATCTGCCATGCTATGGAAGAGACTGGAATATCTGAAGCCATGCTGTCTTTGTGTTACCTTGGACACTGGCCTAGCAGTCCCACTTTTTCCACACCTTTTAAATGTGACCCCAGTGGTAAAGTCCAAGCTAATCTACTCTATTCGGATGCACGCTGATACCATGAATATAGGAAAGCTTCCCCATGGGCTTGGAGCTAGCTAGTTGTATAAGACAGACACAAGAGCCCCTGGAGTACACTGTGTTTTGCCTTGCCAGACACACAAAAGGTGTTTCATCAGTTAAATACCCCCTCCCTTGTATGTGTGTAAGCAATAACAGATTAAAACAGCCCTATCACCAGGCTGAAATACCACATTCCCTGACATTTGGGAAGTTTGAGAGTATTAAAGATTCTTCTTGTAGCATTTAGTACAAGAACACTTTTTTTTGTTAGATAATTTTTTTATTATTATTAATTCAACTTAGGGAACAGGCTTGTTTCACATGTAATTCCCCTCTCCCTCTCCCTCCCCTCACCCCAATCCCTCCTCCCCCACCTCCAACCTACCCCCCACCCCACCACCCACCACTCCCCAGGCAGGGTAGGACCCCCAACAGGGGCTCCACCAAGTCCACCAAAACTTCCTGTGCTGGGCCTAGGCCCTTCCCCATGTGTCCAGAGACAGAGCACATCCCTTCACGTGGGATGGGCTCAGTACAAGAACACTTTTATGATAGAAGGGAGTGTTTTCCAACAATCTCTTCTTATACCTAAGGGATACTTATTTTGCTCAGAAGCCATGCCTTTTTCTTAAAAACATCACTGTTTATGTACTTAGGGACAAGTATAAACTGATATCTGGAATATTCATCAGAGAACATGCTTCTAAGGCATTTACACAAAAGGGTACAAAGACATTTCAAACAGACAGTGCCTATATATCTATCAAGGAACAAAATATGAAAACTGTAAAAAAAAAAATACATGGAATAAAATGAAATGCAGGTTTTCAGACTGACAGCATTTCACATCAAATTCTCTTTAATTTTTCAATTTTGATTTACCTGTCTGTCTGTCTGTGCATGCGTGCCTGAGTTCGTGCCTGAGTGCGCGCGCGCGCGCGTGTGTGTGTGTGTGTGTGTGTGTGTGTGTGTGTGTGTGTGTGTACTCGCACGAAGGATCTCTCAAAGACCAGAATCGAGTGTCAGATTCTCCTGGAGATGAAGTTACAACAGCCCTTTGTGAGCCACCTGACAAGCTGGGAGCTTGTGTCCGTGGTCTTCATGATACAACATCAATGGCTTTTAACCAGAGAACTAAGTCTCCAGCTTTTGTGCCAAGTTCTTACAGGAGACTCACTTTCCTTAGAGATAATTGAGGTAGACACATACATGCAATAAAAAAAAAACATGCAAATAAGAGACCCAAAGAAAATTTCCTGCATTTGTAAGCCAAAGATTGCAGAGAAGTTTGTGGCAGTTGGGAATACTGAGGAAGGAGAATCCACGTGGGAAAATGGGGACACAACATCGTATTAGGCTGGAGATAGTGAGAGTTACAGATAGATGGGGCCAGAAGTGAACAGAGTAATTATGCTCATTTAGCTTGTTTTCATGTGTAGAACAGCTAGATTAAAGGGCTATAAATAGAACATTAGGCTAAGGGAGTGCCTTTATTTACTAGTAGCCAATATGCCTAACCAAGAACTACATCATTTGCACTGCAGTTTTTTGTTTTTGTTTTTAACTTAGACTTCCTTTATTTTTTTCTCACCTTTTGTGTCTTTAAAGGCAGGTGTGGTAGTGCTGCATTTAATCCCAGCACCTGGGAGGCAGAGGCAAGTGGATCTATGTGAGTTTGAAGCCAGCCTGGTCTAGGGAGTAAATTTCAGGACAGCCAAGGCTACACAGAAAAACCCTGTCTTTGTGTCTTTGTTTATTTTTCGAGACAGAGTTTCTCTGTGGCTTTGGAGGCTGTCCTGGAACTAGCTCTTGTAGACCAGGCTGGCCTCAAAGTTACAGAGATCCACCTGCCTCTGCCTCCCTAGTGTTGTGATTAAAGGCGTGCGCCACCAACCCCCGGCAGAAACCCTGTCTTAAAATTAAATAAATAAAAAACAACTAAATAAAATTAAAACCACATTCCTTGCTTATATAAAGTAATTCTGAAAATTTTTTCTTTAAAATAACATGTTTCTCTAGAAGTGTGTAGCTAACTACTTAATAGCAGAAAATTTAATACCAAAACTACTGACACTTGGAAGGAAAACATATCAATCCGGAGACAAGAATTTAAATTTTTTAATACACATGGTGGAAAAGCAATTTAAAACCTCGATTCTAATTGACTTCAAATTCTTTTGAAATGCCTTAACATTTTAAGGTTTTTTTTTTCTCCCCCTCCTCACATTAGATGTTTTGTCAGGTGGAGAAGAGCACCATTTCATCGAAATTGCTAGATCTAGCAATTTATGAGCTGGCAGTCCTCCATTTTAACCAGTAATCTGAGGAGCTGAGATTCTGCAGATATAATTAGTGTTAAAATACTCTAACATTACTGCAGTGTTACTAATATTACAGGATGGTACTTTCACTTCAACTTAACCAATGCTGTTAATAATCTGATTTCTTTCAGGTTTCTTGAGTAATTAAAACTAGTTTTAAAGGAAGATTGAGTTGGCTCACATACGTGTATACAGGCCAGGAATCTATTAAAAGGTCCAGTGACATTACAATTTCACTTGCATGCTAGGCATCATTATTAGACTGCAGATTCATTAACCCTCAAACACTATTCTTGACAAGCTTACAGAAATTTTAGTTCCACTTTGGTCTGGAGAAACTGAGTGTATTTTATATAAATACTTAAGTTGTACTCATAAATCTAGATTAGAATTAAACATTTAACAAATAGGAAACTGTGACACCAAAAAAGCTTGCTTTTAAAATAATTAATACAAAACTTCACAAGCCCCTTAAATCATTTTTCAACTATGCATATTTGTTGGACAACCAACATCCCTAAAATTAGCATCAGAATCTTCAGGTTGTACAGAGAATAATAAAGCTTCATTAGGAATAAGTTTTTTTGTTTGTTTGTTTGTTTGTTTGTTTGTTTTTGCACCTTATTCTGATTTTAGAAGTGGACTGAACCAGCTCTAGAGTTGTAAAAGTCTTTCATCCTCGTTACACTAGACAAATAATCTTTTTTCTTGTCTCCAGTTTAAGGACTTAATACTTTATGTGTATGAGTGTTTGGTAGCTTGAACACATGTGCATCACATGTTCACCTAGGTCAGAAGAGGTTGCTGGATCCCCGTGTTTTTGAGCAGCCATGTGGATGAGGGGCATCCGAGCCTGAGTTCTTGCTGCAAGAGCTCCTAACCACTGCACCATCTCTGGAGGTTCTTACCCTCAGTTCTTTAAAAGCTATTTCCAAACATTAACTGGCATTTCTTTGGCACTTCAATTTACAAATCTAAAGAAAAATATTGTGGGAAAAGTGTCACTTCTATGCTGTGTTCTCATTGGTATCTTTTAGTCCTCTTTAAAACGTTAATAACGATTTCTTAAGCTTCAAAATACTGAAGCCATCCTGCTGAAATTAGTATTTTTACCTGTAACGAAGTAAAGGAAATGTAATGAAAGAGAACACACCATAATTTCTAAAAATATTTCTCCATTGTCTTAAAATATGGTGACATGGTGGAAGACGTATTTCCTTTCAACATACTCATAATGTACAATGGGCTTGATGCGGGGTGGGGGCGAAGAATCAGCTCCATTTCGAGCTTAGTAAATTCTGAACAAAGACCTCTCTGAGAAAATGCCTCTCCTAGACAGGGCTGACATAGTTTGCTTCTGACCACACACTGGGGCGGGGGTGATGACTAGCAAACCCCCGAGTCTCCCAAACCAAGCGCAGTTCCCCAGCTCCAGCTTCCGGGTAGCCGGAGGGTGGTCCAGGAGCTCGTCTCTCTTCGCGTTCCCACATCCCTAGTGAGGCCGGAAACCGACACATCGGAGTCGTCGGAGCTCCGGGCTGAGTTCCTTTAGCCTCTCCAGACCTCACCTTCCTTCTCTGATACCGCCCACGCCCTAGCCTCTCCCTCCACCATCACCTGCGCGCGCGCCCGAGATCCCGCGCCCACCTCCCTCTGGTTGCCAATCACAGCTTTCCGCAGTTCCCTGGTTACCGAAACAACGGTCCTTGGCTTTTGGTCACGCCCCTTGGAACTGCTTCCCGCCTTTCGTGCTCTTCGTCCAATCACTAGCGTCCGAGTGCTCTTTGGTTCCCGCCTCCCCGTCCCCGCCCTCCCGAAGGCCCGCCCTCTTCCTTAAGCACGACTGCGTCACCTGACCCGTAGGCGCTCCCTTGGTAGAAAGCAGGAAGGAGCGTGTGCGTGAAGGGGAGGGGCGCGAGAAGAAAGCGGCGGGGATGCCGGGAGTGGGGCGGGGAGAAGGCTTGTCAATCAAATCTCGCGAGAGAGGACGGAAGCCTGTGGGAGCCCGTGGCCTTTAAAGTCGATTCAGCCCTTTCCTCCGGGGCTAGTTTGTAAACACGGCTGGGCTCCGGGCTCCCGGGGGGAGGAAAGGACCATGAATTAGTGACCTGGAAAGGTGAGTAGTGGTGAAAGGGCCGCAGTCTCGGAGGCTGTAGGGGTTCAGAGGAAGAAGGCGCTAACATGGCGACGTCTCAGCCTGTAGTCCCCACCCCCCGCCTCCCACCCCTTTGGCGCCCCTGCCGCGGACCCCAACCCTCCGGACGGCTGTGGCCGTCCGCGCCAACGCCTCTGGCCTGGCGGACCCACCGGACCGTTAGGTAACGCGGCTGCAGCGTCGGCCCCTCCCTCGCGCGCTTTCCCAAGCCCCAGCGAAAAGGAATAACGGCTCCTCTCAGACCCCTCCCTCCGATTTACCATCCCCTTGTGTGGTCACTTGAGAGGTCCCCGGGCGCTCTTCGGATCCGCCCAGCTGACGGGGAGACCCCCGCCTCAAGTCCTTGATCGCGCCGCAAGAGGGTCCACGCTGGGCTCTCCATCCAGGACTCTAACGGTTGAGGACCACGGACGGGGTTTGGGATGGATGGTGCGGTGGAGGAGGATTGGAAAGCGTGGCTAAAAATCTAGCCGGGGTCCCTGGCTCCCGTGGAACGTGATGGAGCCAATGGTATGGAGAGCCTGGGAGCTGGAGTTCTCGGCCTTTTCTGTCCATTCTGCCACCCGCACTCCCGCCACCCCCCACTTTTCCCAGGTGGGGCGGGGCTGAGGTGTGGATGCAGGTTGATTCTGCTATTTCCCCCCATTTTTTTTTTTTAACCTCGACGGGTACAGGTGTTTTACAGAGCTTCTGTAGGGAAATATCTGTTCCTTTTATCAATCAATATACTAGGGACAAGGGAGAAAGAATTGTGTTTTTTTGGTGTGTGTGTGTGTGTGTGTGTCTGCCTGCCTGTGCCTGTGCCTATGCCTGTCTCTGTATCTCCGTAGTGCTTGTTCATTGAACCAGATCTCGGAGGACTGGGACTATTTTTATGCATCTAGGTAATATAAAATTGTCTCCTCTTAATGGGGAGTCTTAAAACTGAGGAGGCCGAGAGATTGCTTATGATAAACCCTTAGGCCTGTTCCCTAATGCCTATATTACCTTGTGGAAGTCCCAGTTTCTTAGGGATTACAAATTATAGATACATTCACACCACATGCATGTAATGGTATATTAGAAATCAGACCAAACGGTGACTGTTCTCTGAGTTCACTTTTTCCTGTTGGAAGAAATTCTTAACCACTGGAATTGCCATTGTCAGTAATAACCGTCTCAGGGATACTCCTTCAGAGCCAAATGGCCTTGGTCTATTGCACCAAAATTGGAAGGTAAGACTATAAAAGACTATTTTAAAACAAATTTAGGTAATTTCCTGAAATAGAGACACAGTAGGAATCTTATATTTAGATTTGCTAAACCTACTTGAAGAATCCCCTGCAATGAACTTTTTCCAAATGTATAGGAATATTTTGTAGAGTATGGGAGTATGCTAAAAATGTATCCTGTAAAAGCAAACTAAGTTCATGGACTTTTTCTTTTCTTTCTTTCTTTCTTTCTTTCTTTCTTTCTTTCTTTTTTTTTTTTTTTTTTTTTGGCCTTTCAAGCCAGAGTTTCTCTGTGTAGTAGCCCTGGCTGGCTGTCCTGGAACTTACTGTGCCTCACTGGCCTCAAATTCACAGAGATCCACCTACCTCTGCCTCCAGAGTGCTGGGATTCAAGGTGTGAACCACCATAGCCTGCAAAGATTCGTGGATGTTGAAGGCCATCAATAGTCAAGTTATAATTAAGCTTCTAGGTCATAAAGATAATTTTTCAAAAAAATCTTTCAAATTCAGTGTGTATGCTGTCCTCCTAAGCTGTCTTTCAGTGCTCATTTAGAACTTGATTCTTTGTATCTTTGGGGGGTGGGGGTCAGAGGCGTTTAACCCTAACTGCCCCAGAACTCACTTTGTAAACCAGAATTTAGAAATCCTCCTGCCTCTGCCTCCTAAATGCTGGGATTAGAGGTGTGAGAATCCACACCAGGCAGTTCTTTTCAGGGGCATTTTAGTTTTGATATAAGGTACTAAAAACTTCCTGTAGATTACCTGGAAATCCCTTTAACATTACTAAGTTCTTTATTTTGTATTTGGAGCATTATATTATCAAATGTGTTACCTAGAAATTCTTACATTGGTTATTTATTTGGAGGAGTGCTGTTAGAGTAAGATAGTGGTAGAACTGGTTATTCTTTAACAAATTATTGGAGGGTGCTTTGGGGTTTTAAAATTTTAAAGCTGTATTGTTTTGAAATTACATCATCCATTAAATATCTCCTGAGTAACATTAAATCAAGAAATCTAGTTTTATCTCTACTTTTAAAAAATCTTGAAAACTTGAGTTCTAATTATTTATCTGTACTCCCCTAATCAATTATGTTACTCAGTCTGGTAAGCAGCTCTACCATACATGCTGTTTCCATTCATTTTTGCCTTTGGTGTCTTTCTTCCTATATGATACGTGTCTGAACTGGTATTACTTTCTTTTGTTACTCTTATTGAAATGCCCTTAGAAAGGTAATTAACTCTTTTGTATTCAAACCAAAAATTTTTACTGCAACCTTCCTTGATTAGAAATCAATGTAATTGGATAATTCAGCTGACCCCTCTGAAAATTAATACAGATAGTTCTTGTACTATTTCTTATATGAACTTGTGGCCTAGAAAAACCACCTAGCATTGTTTATAGTCAACAGTTTAACATTTTTGTGTTTATCTCATAGTCACATCGATTTCTTCAGACTAAAAATTGGCCTGAGATGCTATGTGTTCTGTTTTGTTATTGTTGTTTGGGGTTTTTTGTTTGTTTGTTTGTTTTTTGAGACAGGGTTTCTCTGTGTAGCCCTGGCTGTCCAGGAACTCACTCTGCAGATCAGATAGCCTCAAACTCACAAAAATCCTCTGCCTGTGTCTCCCAGGTGCTGGGATTAAAGGTCTATGTATTTTTTTTAATATTTACTTATTTTTATTTTATGTTTTGCTTGCATATATGTATGTGCATCATTTGTGTGCAGTGCTCTTAGAGGACATCTAAAATCCTGAATCCCTGAAACTGGAGTTACAGATTGTTGTAAGCTGTCATGTGGGTGCTGGGAACCTGTCCCATCTCCTTTGCAAGAACAGCAGGTACTCTAGACTGCTGAACCATCTCTCCAGCCCTTTGTTTGCTTTTCTATCCTTGCCAGGAAAGCTCTTTTTTATTGAGCTGTACATCCCCAACCCCTCTATATGTAATTTGTTTTTATTTTTACATTTATGTAGTGTGTGTGTCTGCCTTCCTGTCTGTGTGGGTGATGACATGTGGAGATCAATGGACAACTTTGAGGAGTAAATGTTCTTTCCACCACATGTGTTCTGAGGATGGAGCCCTGGTCATCAGGCTTGATGGCAAGGGTTTTCCCACTGAGCCATCGCATTTGTCCTATATGTAACTCTGGTGTTGAAGCAGTAAGTGATCATCATCACTATTTTTGTCTATGGGAGGAAAATCCTAGAAAAACACTTCCCTTGTTCTGTTTCTGAAAGTTAAAATAAGGTATCGTTTCACAAAAAATAGAGGAATGTCATGAGTCTTTAAGGCTGAGGTAATTGTAATTATGTCTTTTATATTAAATATGAAATATAAAATTATAAATATGTATGTGATATATATGTCTTCTCATTGACTTTTATTGACAAACCTAAACTGGTATATTTTAAATTTAAGATATATTCAACAATGCTTTCTTTGTTCTTTTTGGAAGTCATTGTAAAGGATTTTAGATTTTCATTTTAATTATTGCTGGGTATGTGCATAATGTGTTTATGTTGGTGTGTACATATCACGACTTGGGTGTGGCAGTCAGAACACTTTATGGAGGCAGTTCTTTCCTTCCACCTTACATGGATTATGGGTGTTAAACTTGGGTTATTAGGTTTGTACAGCAAATCTTTGCTGGCAGAGCCATCTCACTCTCCCTAAGTAATAATAATTAATTCTATTTCTTCTCTTCCTCCTTCTGCTCCTTTTGGGGGAGGAGCAAAAAGGGTTGTGAATATATTTTAGGGATGTAGGTGTATATACTCAGGTGCATAGCTGAGCCAGTAATTCTCAACTTCCCCCTCATTCATATCCAAGAAATAAAAAAACACTGAAATAGAGTGGTGAGTGACTTGTTACTGTGAGATGCTTGACAAGGTTCTTAGAGAAACAGAATAATTATACTTGGCAAATGGATAGACTGACTTGACTGATCTTAGTAGTATATGGTTAATCATTTGCTTTTTTTTTTTTTTTCTTGAGACAGTTTCTCTGTGTAGCCCTGGTTGTCCTGAAACTTACTATGTAAACCAACTTGGCCTCAGACTCCGAGATCTGCCTGCCTCTGCCTCCCAAGTGCTGGAATTTAAGGCTGGGCAGCCTTCAATTTCGATTTTTAAGTATGTTCTCTAAAATGCTTTCATATTTTCTAGTAGGTTCTAAACTTTTGCATTCCAGTTTTCTACCTTTAATTCATTTAGTTTTATCTTTGCTAGCATTGTCATTTTCCATTATGTAGATTATGTGATGTTTGATGATTGTGTACAGTTAATAAGTCACTTAAACCACTCTAAATTTCTTGATATTAAATACCTGAATGGGGAAAAAATGTTTTCAGTTGCTTTGATTTATTTGAGATAGGATGTCACACTGTAGTTCAGCCGGTCCTGTAACTCATGATGGCCTCAGACCCATGGCAGTCCTCCTGCATCAGCCTCCCAAGTGCTGGGATTACAGGGTGCTGAAGGTGTGCGCTACCATGCCTAGCGGTTATGCTCTGCTGCTTTTCTTTTTTTTTTTCTCCCTGATTTTAACATTGAATTAATGAGTGTATTTTTCTGTTGTGTAAACTTTGTAGTATTTGATACCTTTTTTTTTCCTTTGAGTTGGTTCCATAAGATAATAATAAACTCAGTGGAATTATTTATCAGAGAATATAAATATTTTTGGAGTTGCCAAGACAAGAGTTAAGCAAGCAGGCTCACACTGGCATCTTAGTGTGAATGTACTAGCTTTGC